AGGCCAAGGCCGAGTTTGATCCGAATGACATCCTCATGAGCTGCATGGAAATGTTGATGGAAAATGCTCAGCTGAACTTTGACGGCATCAAAGAGCGCATCGAGTTTGGCAAGCTCCTCCCCTTCTCCAGGCGCGAAGACATCCAAGTGGAGAAAAGCACTGCCACCCGGGAGGGTGAGCCGGCATCAGGTTCTCAGCTGGTGCCCGGCTACACCGTTGCAAAGATGGCCGCCATGACGAGCACTGATGCATGTGGATTTCAGCGTCGTGGGCGGAACGGACCCGGTGGTGGAAATTGGAATCGAGGGCAAGGTCGAGTTGGATTTGAGTTGCAATTCAAGGACATTTCCTACAACCAGATCCAAGACTCCCCTCAGGTGCGCTGCAGCCACCCGATCTGCGGATACCTCATGATGGACGGGCATTTGAAATGTCCACGGTGTTTTCGACAAATGGAACCCGTGACGGATGCCAACATCGCCACAGAGGTTGCCCGCCGGGAGGCGATGGCCCGTACCAGAGGTGTGCCCTTCTCCATGGACAAGGTGATCTTCAACCACCCTCGGAGAGGCAGAGTAGCCAGACAGCCAGAGAAGGGATCTTCATCTTCTTCGACAGCCGTCCGGACCAGAAGCACCTATGGCAACTTGAGAGACATGGCCCGCAACTACGTCAGATCTTTCAAGAAAAGGGGCTTCAAGGACCTTGTTGACAGACTCGTCCGCGACCCATTCTTTCAGTTCAATGCGGCGAATCAAAACTTGGTCCCGGAGGCCTTGCTCTTCATTGAGCGTCTGGCTGGCTGCGTGAGTCCGACCATTGAGCGCACCAAGGCTCAGGTTCTGGGTGAAAAGCTTGAGATGGCCACCAAATTGATCTTCGTGCCATCGTCGGAGCGGGAGCCCGACCAACCCTTGGATCTTCACACCGAGGTGTTTGTGTCGCATCGGGGCGTCTTTCTCGACATTGGCCAGTTCGCAGTCTATGTGGCAAAATTCATCAAGCCAAAGCAAAGACCCCTACCCATTGTTTATGGCTGGGGCAACCGTGACTTTGTGCCTGATGCTTTGGATGCCAAAGAGATCGCGAAAGAGTTGGTGGAGTTCAGCAAGCTGCAGTGGTCGAACTATGCCTCCCAACAGACGCACAAGGAGTCTGAAACCACCGGCGACGACCGGGAGGTCAGTCTACCTCATGCAAGTGGGCCCATTAGCCGACCTGAACATGAACGACCCCATCACGAGCAATTCGAGCCAAACCTTGGCAAGCCTGCTCGCGGAGGTCCTTACGGTCAAAGCCATGGTGGAAAAGGTCATTACAAAGGTGGAGGACAGACCAAAGGAAAGGGACAGCAGAAGGGAAAGGGCAAGCAAGGCAGAAGCCCACCGGGAGGTGTGGCCTATGGTGACTTTGAAGGAGATTCCTACTGGGTTCAGGGCTACCGCTACACGTGGTACTGGAATCAACAGCGAGGCTGGTACTGGCGTTGGACCTGAACTTTGGGATGACTCGCATTGACGCTTAGGTCATATCTTTCTTTTTCAAGTTTGCTTGCCGGGAGGCATGCCTGTCTATGACAAACTTGGCAGGCATTGCACCCATTGAACAAACCAAAGCTTTGACGCACATTATGCATTATCCCATTCAAATGAACTTCAATGCACAAATTTCCGCACAGTTTGAATGAATTAAAATTTTACTTCTATGACTTCTCAAGCCATACCATTGGATGTTCAAGGCAAGGGTCAAATCAATTCACACCTTTCATGGCTGTACAGTTTTTCCTGCCATGGTATCCTTTTGGAGTGACATCACAGGAATGGTATTGTTCCTTCATTCCATTTGAAGATGCCTGGCGGGAGCCACGGCCATGCTGTGTGCAACTTCGAGCCCAATATCGGCGCAAAAGGAATATGTGAGCCTTTGCATTCGCCAGACATTGCCTTGACATCCGCAAGACCCATGCCAATATGCATCCGACCTAGTTGTGTAGCTTTGAACTCTTCCGTTCACTCAGGTCTCTTTGCGGCGGCGTACTGCAGGCACAGTTATACTGGAGCTGCCAAGCAGCTACAGTATACGGGGGGTATTTTTACGGGATAGTAATCCATACTGTTCTCACTCCCCTGTAAAGTGTGCCCTGTAGTAATTGTACATTGTATGGACTTCATGGCTCAAGAGGAAAAACAGTGTGCTTTGTTTTCTGGCTGTTGGTGGCTGTGTTGCCTATAAATATAGATTATTATTGGGTTTGCCACATGGTGATTGCATGTTGCAATGGGATTTTAATGGTGATTTAATGGGATTTAATGAGATTTAATGGGATTTAATGGGATTTAATGGGATTTAATGAGATTTAATGGGATTTAATGGGATTTAATGAGATTTAATGGGATTTAATGAGATTTAATGAGATTTGATGAGATTTAATGGGATTTAATGGGATTTAATGGGATTTAATGGGATTTAATGGGATTTAATGAGATTTAATGGGATTTAATGGGATTTAATGAGATTTAATTAATGGGATTTAATGAGATTTAATGGGATTTAATGGGATTTAATGGGATTTAATGGGATTTAATGAGATTTAATGGGATTTAATGGGACTTAATGAGATTTAATGGGGTTTAATGAGATTTAATGGGATTTAATGGGATTTAATGAGATTTAATGGGATTTATTGGGATTTAATGGGATTTAATGGGATTTAATGAGATTTAATGGGATTTAATGAGATTTAATGGGATTTATTGGGATTTAATGGGATTTAATGAGATTTAATGGGATTTAATGAGATTTAATGAGATTTAATGGGATTTAATGGGATTTAATGAGATTTAATGGGATTTAATGGGATTTAATGAGATTTAATGGGATTTAATGGGACTTAATGAGATTTAATGGGATTTAATGAGATTTAATGAGATTTAATGGGATTTAATGGGATTTATTGAGATTTAATGGGATTTAATGGGATTTAATGAGATTTAATGGGATTTAATGGGATTTAATGAGATTTAATGGGATTTAATGAGATTTAATGGGATTTAATGGGATTTAATGGGATTTAATGAGATTTAATGGGATTTAATGGGATTTAATGAGATTTAATGGGATTTAATGGGATTTAATGAGATTTAATTAATGGGATTTAATGGGATTTAATGGGATTTAATGGGAATTAATGAGATTTAATGGGATTTAATGAGATTTAATGAGATTTAATGGGATTTAATTGGATTTAATGAGATTTAATGGGATTTAATGGGATTTAATGAGATTTAATGGGATTTAATGGGGTTTAATGAGATTTAATGGGATTTAATGGGATTTAATGAGATTTAATGGGATTTAATGGGATTTAATGGGATTTATGGGATTGAATGGGATTTAATGGGATTTAATGGGATTTAATGAGATTTAATGGGATTTAATGGGATTTAATGAGATTTAATGGGATTTAATGGGATTTAATGGAATTAATGCGATTTAATGAGATTTAATGGGATTTAATGGGATTTAATGGGATTTAATGAGATTTAATGGGATTTAATGAGATTTAATGGGATTTATTGGGATTTAATGGGATTTAATGAGATTTAATGGGATTTAATGAGATTTAATGAGATTTAATGGGATTTAATGGGATTTAATGAGATTTAATGGGATTTAATGGGATTTAATGAGATTTAATGGGATTTAATGGGACTTAATGAGATTTAATGGGATTTAATGGGATTTAATGAGATTTAATGGGATTTAATGGGATTTAATGAGATTTAATCGGATTTAATGGGATTTAATGAGATTTAATGGGATTTAATGGGATTTAATGGTATTTAATGAGATTTAATGGGATTTAATGGGATTTAATGAGACGTAATGGGATTTAATGGGATTCAATGAGATTTAATGGGATTTTATAGTGATTTAATAATGGGATTTTATGGATGTTTTTTTTTTTTAATGGTGGTTTAATGGGATCTAATGGGATTTACCATCTCGTAATTTAACGTAACTATGGAAAATCACAACTTTTAACAGGCAAATCATCATAAAACATCTATAAATTGGCCATTGTCACCAGAGGGTATATTTCCATGTACTCCAGTAGGACAATCTACTTGATTCAGAATGATTGATGGTAACCCCTTCCTTCGAAAAAATCACGCTACCCAAACGAAACCATGGTGGAATGTCTTGGTACCAATTCAAGTATCCAGTTGTTGGGGGTGAGAATTTTGACTACCCAAATGGATATTGTTATTTATCCATTTTGGTTGGTAAACTTGGAATTTTAGTTGTTTGAATCCCATGTTTGGTTGGTATATAACACTATCGACACCCATTTTTGGATGGTTAAATACAAAAAGACAGCAAGCGTGGGGGTCGGTGCCCCATTTTCGAGCCATGACCAAGTAAGTGACGGATTTGGCGTTGATTTGTGGAGTTTTGGGCATCTACCAAGAAAATTATCATCGCCAATTGTGGGGAAAAAAACGGCAGAATTTTCCGGGTGGGTGTTCGGAAAATAAAACAGTTTTGCTTTCTTAAAACATCTCCAGTACTGCGGGTAAAACCAATGCCATAAACCACCCATGACTGGGAATGATTTATAGCGTATTTATATGTATTTATACCACCTATAAAAATGGTGATTTGGGGGATGGTTGGATCAGGATCACTGACTGATCAGGATCAGGATCACCGACTTTAAGATGTGACATCCCATGGGAGTTGAAGAATCTTTGAGTCGAATCGCGAGATTTTTTTAATGTTTCTACCCAAGAATTTGCCAAATTAATTATTCAATTGGTACTCGAAGTTTTAACATGTTTTAACCAGAACGTCTACATTATCACAACTACCAGAAGAAATCAAGTGCCACTCCCAATGTTTAACCAGAAATGTGCCGACCCGTTTTAACCAGAACATTAAAACCATTTCCCAAGAAACCGTGGGTGAAAAGTTCGACGTTCCTGGCCGGTCGTTTGCAGGATGAAGTTCCACCAGAACTCACCAGAATGCCGCTGGTGCCCTGGGGCATGGGGGCAGTTGTGGTTTTTGGATCGTGAAAAACTGAATAGTGGGGCCAAGTGTGGCGGATTTTACCAGAAGCAAATGGGGATTGAATGGGGTTGAATGGGAGATGACTAACTGACTAACCAAGATTTTTTTACCACCAGGATGGGATAAAAGTGATGATGGTTTCATATTAGGGGGATGGGATTAACTTGTCCCTTTTGTAAGCACTTCTTGTGGTTAGCTACTAGCTACGATGCTTATCTTAGCCGTGCCCCAAAGGTCTTACTCCCCAATCCGATAGCAGACGGTCATTGGTAACCCGGTGGTTGGCAGTTGTGGGTGGTCAGTACCCTCTGGTAAACTAACATAGCTATGGCAAATCACAATTTTTCATGGGAAAATCCACTATTTCTATGGGCATTTTCAATAGCTATGTTAGTTTACCAAAGGGTAAATCGAAGCCAGTTCAGTCAATGGATGGGCATAGAATCCACCTGGTGAATCAATCGACGTTTTTTACTATCCTTGGAGGGCCTCCAACAAGGAGGGGCCCCCCACCTTGTAGGTACCTAAGGAGGGTCTAGACATACCCAAATTTTATTAGTTGGTTATATATCCCACCACCACAACAGAAATATACAAACATGTGATATCAGTTAATATCCCATTGTATTATATGTATATGCATCCACCACATACACCAGATATCCCAATGAATATCCCATAAATTGGGGGTGGCATTCCTTTTGTGTTTAAACCAACCACTAACCATTCATTGTTGTGAATGTTCTGACTATTACAACCATAATCCAGCTACTATTGATGATTAGGACATCATAATGAATGATATTATTGTAGTATTATGATTTTTTGATGGTTTGTAATTACTATTATTACTATAATCAACAAATTATTGGTGGTTTATACTGATTCATTATATTACTCCATTAGTTATGTTGATTTCTTATATTACTAAGATCACTATCATTAATATTTGTTCCTCATAATGTTATATACAAAATCATGGAAAAATCCGATGCTGATTCTCACTGGTTATCCTATGAATCCGGATCTGGTGGTTTATCCAACTAGTGATTTCTAGTCAAAAATCCCATGATTACTATTATCCAATTATAGTCATAGTGATCCCGTGATCTCTATTATAGTTATAGTTGTTATGGTGATTCCTATTATTATTGCTATTATTATTCTTATTATTATCAATATGATTACTATTATAGCTATAGTATGGTATAGTTACAATGATCCCTATTTAATATAGTTATATTTTATAGTGGTGGTTTGATCGTGATTCCTATACTTTGTTAGAGTGAGTACCCTGTGGTAAACAGTTTGCTCTTGAAAATGGCTATTTAGTTCATTGATTTACCATTTTTAAAGATGGTGAATTTCCAGTTCGCAAACTCTTAGTTGGCCATTTAGTTCGTGGAACCCGATGGAAAAACGTGGAAATTTTCCAGTTCGCAAACTGTTAGTTTACCAGAGGCTAAATCCCATTAGATCCCATTAGACACCATTAAAATCCCATGAATAATCCCATTAAATCACCATTAAATCACCATTAAAATCCCATTAAATCCCATTAAATCCCATTAAATCACCATTAAAATCCAACCATTTATATTAAATTCCCAGGTGGGTGCTGCCTTGCTGGTGAAGTCCCTGGAACTGGGCGACATCGCGGCGGTGCTGTCGCAGTGCCCAGATCCGCCGCCCGAAACGTCGGTCGGGGCCTCGGGGCCCTGGAAGGACTGTGGGAACGGGGGGGGGGAATCCGAGGGGAGCCGGGGGGGCCGTAAAAGAACTCCAGGGAAGATGGGATTTCAGTGGCAAACATGTGGGATTTCATGGGATTTCGCTATCAAAGAACAGGGAGAACATGGGAATTTCATAACCAGTAATTGGGGTTAACAGCTAAAGAAAAATGGTATAAGACTATTGCTTGTTGAACAGCCGTTTCACCCATCACGGTGATGGCCAATCCCATGGACCCCCGGCTGCCTCCGCGGCCTTCAGGTGGCTCATGCCATTGCGGAGTTGAAATTGGTGAGGCGCAGAAAATCGCTGGTTGATATGATGCCATTAAGAATGGTGGGAGACTATGGTATTATGAATGGGAATAACGTAATAACCATGGAATATTTACGGGAAGAATACCGGAGAATGTTAATGGAATATATTATACTATAATCATTGATGAACGGGAAAAAAATCTGGAAACTATGTTATCATCCAATTAGCCTCTGGTAATCAGACCCGGCTGCCTCGAAATTCCCCGAACTAAATGGAGGTTTATAGCTGGGAAAATCCATGAAATTCATCTATAAATAGGAGATTTTCAATTGCCCCCTTTGATTACTGGAACGTATTGTCTGGTATGTTCGCTCAATCTGGTACATCATGTATATGATACATTTATATACATATTTATATACATATTTATATACATATTTATATACATATTTATATACATGTTCATATACATATTTATATACATATTTATATACATATTTATATACATATATATATATGTATATACGTATATATATATATATATCTATAAGTATATATATATATAAGAGTCAACATTGACGAGCAGTGTAGATGGAGATTTCCAGCGATTTCCGGCACTTTCGATTTGCTTCCCGGTCGATCCAAGGGCGTTGGATGAGCAGCAAAATCTGACGTATTTGGGTCGCATTCTGGCGAGGTTGCCCCTGGATCCTCATGTGACTTGGTGGTCAAGGTTGATGTGACCTGGGGCCGGCAAACCCTCCAGTCATATATTTAACCCGATTTTAGGGGGTTACAACAAAAATATCCATCAAACATCATCAAACCATGCTTTTTTGGGCTGGAGTTACCTCCAGCAAAATGTCTGATCCAAGGAAAACAATCCCATGGTAGTTTTCAGGGTAAACTCTCTGGGGAAAACAACACCTGGAGCGACCGAAAGTGGCACCTGGCCTCACCGAAAGTACAGCTTGGGTGAAATCCACCTGGGATTCCAAGGGAGGATCATCCCACATCATCCATGATATCTTCAGCACAAACCCAACTGATATTTGATCCATTGCCAAAGCCAAAGCTTCAACGATAGTTCACTGTCTGATTCCCGACTTTCTGAAGCAGACTTTTCGAACATGACTTTTCGAACATGACTTTTCGAACATTTGGCAGATTTTTGGCCAACAAAAATGGCCCCCAGGCTGCCAGGTTCCGCTGGGCCCAGGTGGGTGTGGCGTTGCTCTTGGGCCACTGGCTCTTTGGCCTGGGGGACGTCATGGCCACCATCTGCGCGGCCATGTCCTTCGACGAACCCTTTCAGTGCCTTGGAGCTGCGCGCAGAGGAGTTGATAAATGATCATCTGATAGGTTTCTCAGTTCCATAGAATCCCTGGAAATTGCGGTCTGTGGATGAGGATGAGGATGAGGATGACGATGACGATGACAATGATGATGATGACGATGACAATGATGATGATGATGATGATGATTATTATTATTATTATCTTATATTACGATTGGGATATCTTTCCACATTTTTCCATTGGTGAATCCACCTGAAATGGGGAATAGCTGTGGAAAACCACCATTTTCGAGAGGTCGATCATCGAACTAAATGGGCCATCTATACCAGCAGCCATGTTGGATTACCGTTGGATTTGTTTCAACCCATAATTCTGGATATATCCACATTATCTACCAACTACAATAATAAATAGCAATTAGATACTAGTTAGAAACCAACTTAACTAACTTGATTATATAATTGGACATTGGTTCAAAACCAACTTAACTAACATTACCATACTTTACTAAATTTACCCATCCAACTACATCTATATAGATCATTCACCAAAGACCTCCCGATGTCCTTTGGCCAACTTCCAAGGTTTGCGGAGAGTGCCGGCTTTTTGCCATGGAAGATCCAGGAGAAGTACAAGGGCACCTGGCTTTAGCGGATGGGAGAAGGGGGGATGGGGTTCCTTTCATGATCTATGTTAAATACCTTTTTTTAAGGGGATGAACTATGATGAACTGATGAAGATCCACAATTTCCAGATATTTTTTGATGTGCACAGAGGGGTACCAAGGCCTTGAAGCGAGGATTTCAGAGTTTTTAAGTTTGATTTGTGAAAATTGTGAAGTGTGTCTTTTTTGCTGGCCACAAATGGGGAAGTAGGCTAAGCAGCGAGGGATGGATTGATAGTTACCACATGTTAAACCAACGATTTTCGGTTCACAATCGCGGCACTGGAACTGAGGCACCCACAAGAACTCGGACCCTCCGGGATGGGTGTGCTTTGGCTATGGCTCAAGACTGGGGGGTATCAATGGACCCACAACATGTAGTCAACTTTTAGGAGCGAACCATAGAGTTTTGGGGTCGATCATTTTAGGCCATAACAGTCAATGGATTAGCATGGATCTAATGATGTCATCCTGTCATCCCCATTTGAATCTGGAGAACTAGTCATGATGAGAAATGATGTGTATGATCAAGCAAGATCACAGCAAGGGTTTCAAGTATCGCAACATGTTCCTTAGCAAGTCTGCTCGATTTTCGTCAATCAGGCACTAAATAACGCACATAGGCCCCATGTCATGCCCCGTCGCAGGACCAGTTTGTCTTGGGGCTGGTGCACCAGGAGCGGACGAATTGACAACAGATTTCTTGAGAAAATGGGGATGCCCTCCCTTGGTGACCCCTTCAACTCCGGTCGAATGTAGGAAGTCTTTCTAAGTTTCCTGAAATGGGGGTACCCCTAAATCATCCATCTTGATAGGACTTTCCATTATGAACCATTTATTTGGGTACCTCCATTTTAGGAAACCCGGATTTCTCTACAAATTCACTGCTTTGGGGGTCTCATTTTTTTTGCCCAATTTTGATGGGTCCATGACCTGCAACTGAAACTCCAAGAAGCTGAGTCTGTCCCATACGCAGCAACAGCATGTAATGTAATTACCCATAAATCCATTGGTTCGGTTAGTCATCATTTTCATTCATTTTCCCTATCAAGATAACCATTTTTCGGGGCATACTATTCATACTCCATTCTGAGACGCCCGCCTATCATTCTCCACCGGAGCTTTCCTGGATTCCGTAAGGAGTATGCCAGAATCATGGACACAGGTGGAGAAGCCGCAGCCAAGCGTGTCCTGGCAGAAAAGCTACCATTCTTTACAAAAGCAGTCAATTTTCATAGCAAAAGCGAAGAGGTGATGCATCTGAATCCGATTTTTGAACCCGGAACTTATTTTTTGTTTCGAGGGTATCAAGATTTAGCAATGTTTTTATTCACTTGATTGGTGCTGTGTTCCCTTGTTCCTGCCTTGGCTCGTGGACTTCAGGATTTTGTGTGCAAGAGGGGCTTCACCCTGCCATTATGCGGCAGGTGGGTAAGCCAATTCAAGCGCACCAGGGTGAAATGACCCACACCCATTGTAGCATCATGACAGGATATCCATGTCTACACTTATATATGTTATATTACCTCTAAGGACATTTATAATATAGATATAGATTAATTATATATATATATATTATATAGATATAGATTATATATATATAGATATTATATATATATATTAGATATATAGATATAGATGTAGATATATAGGTATATAGATATAAAGATACATATATACAGGTACACATATATATATACACGCATGTATAACTATATATATATATTTAGATATATGTGTATATGTTATATGTATAGATAGATATCACAATGTTGTGTAAAGTGATATGTATATTGGCAATGAGATCTGCGGATTTATACTGCTATAGATGTCACTTGTACCTAAGCACCAAAATTTGGAAGATGAGTTTCTTGTTGGAAATGGCAATGTATCTGTTTCAAATTCAATCTCGGGGGTGTAGGGGAAACCAATCCCCAACTAGACCCCAAATCAGCAAGAACAGGCATAAAGAACTTATGTAACTATACGTCAATAGGTATATCAAGATACATACCACTGTACAAACTCATGTGTTTAATGATTTACATTTGCACACAACGCCGTGCATGACCCTACAAACTCATGTATATTAATAGTGATGTATATTAATAGTGATGTATATTGATAGTGATGTATATTAATAGGATGTATATTAATAGTGATGAATATTAATAGTGATGAATATTAATTTATTAATAGTGATGAATATTAATAGTGATGAATATTAATAGTGATGAATATTAATAGTGATGAATATTAATAGTGATGTATAGATATATATATATATGTATATATATAGATATAGATATATAGACATATATAGATATAGTACTATCAATGATCAACAAGATACATATTCCAGCGCTTGGGAGGCCGCCCAGCGGCCAGGCCTACAATGCATCTGAGCAGCTGAGGGCGCTCCTGCAGAGCGACGCCTTGGGCGGTTTGGCCATGGGTAGTTTGGAGGATGAGGCGCTGGGGGTGGCCAAACGAGTCGGAACCATTGGTTATTGGGTACCCCCATGATACCCCCAAAGTTCCAGTTTTAGAGATTTTTGGGAATAAAGTTGCGTTGTGAAGTGTTCTTTCAGTATGCCCCAGACTTGGGAACCAGCCTATTTTGGTTGCTGTTGGACTGCAAAATGCTTGGGTTTCAACCATGCAAGCAAGAACCACTGCTGCTCATTGGACAATGGTTCCTGGATTTACTATGGTTACAACATGATTGACCCCCCCATGGTGGCATGGGTTACCCTCTAAACAATCATACCTATGGAACATGGCCTGTTTGTAGATGATCTACCCATTTCAAACGGCGGCTTTCAAGAACTATGTTAGATTACCATGGGGTGAACGGCCGCGGGGTCCTCAAGGATACCCAGTTTCTGCCGTGAAGCGGTTTGCCAGGAAGGGACTGCCGCCATAGCTCTTGAGCAGCACCGGAACTACAGCGCGATTCGAGACTGGAATTCCAAGGAGACATGAACTGGAAAAATTGGTGGGAGTTTTGTGCCACAAAAATAGGGAAGTTACCTTCCAAAACTCGGGAAATGATGGGACATATTGGGACATGGCCCGAATGTTGCTGCATTGACAAACAAAGAAACTTCATAGGAGTCACTTCATCCAACCGATCGGGAGTTGCCCAACATGACTTTTCAAGGCGATTCTTCTTTCAGGTGGTCACAAGTAAATTCAGATCTTGTCAATCTTGTCCTCGTTGTGGCAAGAATCATGGGTTTGTCTGAAAACAGGGTACCCAAAGTTCAGTGGTTACTCATCATGTTCTCTAGCTCAATATTCTCAATCCCGTTTTTCAGGGTAAATTCCCAATCTTCAGACAGACCCAGATAATCCCAGATAATCTCGTTGGCGATACATCCAGGAGTGGTGCTGGGGGGCCGTGCTCCTTTCACTGGTCACTGCCTTGCCGCACTTGGCGGTGCACCAAGAGAAGCGACACGTCTGGGTGGCAGAGGACACCATTGGTGCGGTCTATAGAGGCTCCATCAACTGCTGCAAGAACAGCTATGCACCTTGGCTCGAGGCAAGGTGCGGCCCCCGTTTTTACTGTTTTTACCATAGCGAAGTTGGGGCAAAGAACTAGCTTGGCTATGGTTGATGGATGCTTAGGGTAGATATATCATGATACATCCAGAGTTGATGGGGTTTATAAACTAACTTATAACTGGGGGGCGCCATCTTCTGGTTACTTGGAAGATCATCCCAAGCTTGTCGTAGCTGGTGAAGAACCCTTTTTGCTTCGGTAAGTCTGGGGTTATCTCATATACAAGTGCTTATTACCCCACTGATTAACTAATTACGATCCATGGGTTTTTTTGATGTTTTTTGTTACTTGGAGGATCAGGCATGAAAATTGTGACCGGGGCCAGTTTTTCAGACCGGAACCTACGACTGGATCATGCCGGGCCTGGGCCTGAAAAAGGGGTATCACTGCAAGTCATGATCAACGGACTTTGAGGTACCCGATGTTCAGACACTTGGTAAGTGGCTATATTAATTAAGCCTGTTTACATTTCGTGTTGGGGAAACACACACACACACACATTTATAGCTGGATGCTGGATTATAAGCCCAATTGTCCTCCAAGTACTGCGTTTGTCTAGTGATGGATATGGAGAAGGCTGCAAGATCATCCCAGAAAAGCTACTGATCCGGTGACTCTACCTATTGGCTCCTATTGTCTCCTATTGACTGTTGACCATCAGCGTCAAGATGGGTTTGTCTCTACAATTAGGGAAAGCTTTCATTCCATCCACTGGTTTCTCATTATTCCCTGAATACCATTGCACATTTTTGGGCGTATCCATTTTTAGACACCCCTACATCATACTGTTGGTGACAGTGTAATGATATATATATATATATCCCATCATATCCCTTGATGATGGTTACCACGTTTTCTGTAGAACACATCCCACTGTTTCCAATAAATTCCCAGGTTATATAAATATCCCAATTTCCCACCCAGCCACCAGCTTCCATGGCTTAAATACTGGTTCGTAAAATCCAACCTTTTTGCTGACTAAACCACTGTTTTTGATGGGTACAGGTACCATCCCCATTTCATCCATTTCCAATAAGTTCATTGCTTACCAAACCACCGTTTCATTCGCTTGGCGATGCGCTTTGCCGCTTCGCGGGGTAACCAGGTCTTTCCTTCACCGATCTTCGCCTTTCTGGACCAAGTCAAGGAAGGTGGATGGAGACCAACGAGATGTCGGTGCCTCGTTTGGAAAAAGTGGACGACTTCAGGATCCACCCCGGTTGGTTGTTTTTTGTTGGGGGATTGTTAACTGACCAAGATTTCTATGGGGGGATATCAGAATCCATGAATGGGGAACACCTATGACTTGGTTGTGTTTATGACCTTACTGTCATCTTACGAAGACTTTTGAGGAGTTTGGACTGCGGAAGTGACCAGAGGGGTCGATCATGGTCCATTTTTAAGCAAAGGAATCAACTATGTAAGTGAATGGGTTACTGTATGTTACTGCAGTTCTCATCCATTTTTTTATGTAGTCATATGTCATATCAGACAACAAATTACTGGTTTCCCTGGGTTTCAACCTCTATTCACTAAAAGAACTTCAATGTACAGTAGTAAAAACCGGTCATTCACCTGGCCGTGTCCTGGCACCGTGCCGCGGTCCCCCTGGCAGGCAACTCACCAACATGCCACCGCTGCTGGCTCTGCTGAAGCCTTTTGCCAACGGCGAGATTCGGATGGATGAGCAGGTCATGGGACACCTTGGGGGGTGACACCTTTGGTGGGTGGTACCCCAAGGCGAGTTCTTCAACTTTGACATTTTTCCACAGTCATCACTGGGTCGATTCAAACGAACATCAACAGTCCTACTCGTACCATTGTTTTACCAGGCAAATATCTTCTTTCTGCAAATTCGTTCTGAATTTGCTTTCAGAATCATTGAAAAGGCAACTCTTAGGCACCTTTCCCAAGTTTTTTTCCCAAGGCCTTCCCCCCCAAAATCCTTGTGCTTCTAGGAAAAGCGATCCTTCCCTCCCCCTGGTAGGATGGGAGCTGCGTGATCATTGGCAACTGGATTCCCCTTGGACCTGTGCACGTAGAGACCCGGCGAAAAAAACGCCGTGAGGTTGGCCAAGCTCGAAGACTTTGCCAAAGGCCGATTGTTTCATTTAACATCATCATCTAACTATATGTCTGTCTGTATATATGTATATATATATATTATATATATAGTATATATATATATATATTGTATATATATATATAGTATATATATCCCGATTGTGTATTGGAGATTCACATTTTATAATACAATACTATGAATATATTTATAGAGACTCCCATTTTTGATAGTGTACTGCTGCTTTCACGGCGACTGTGAGAGCGGATTTTGGCCAAAGACAAGCACAACTGGGATATGAGCCCTGAAGTTTGTGCTTCGGAATAACCCCCAAGCAGCTAACGATGTAACTATCCATGTTACATCCAGGTTGAATCTTGATTCTAAATCTGGTCATGTCTGGGATATAACCTTAGATTTTTAGATATGTTTAGATATCGTTGATATCATGGTCAGTTTCATCTTACATTCAGGTTGACACTTCAATATATTTCCTGGCACATTCCTGGGATATGGTTCATTTTCGAGGCAGTACCCTCTGGTAAACATCACCATAACTCTAGATTTTATCGCGAGTTTGAATAGGTAAATAAACTTTAAACGGGAATGTTCAACAGCTATGTTAGTTTACCACAGGGTGACAATGATTTTTCAACAACGACCTCAGGACACGGTGAACTTGCTCCTGGTCCTGCGGCGTCGATTGGAGGTGAGCGAGTGTGAAAACGAAACAACCGGGCCTACCCGGCCTGGTAAACTAACATAACTATGGAAAATCACCATGTTTGATAGGTCAATCAACTATAAATGGCCAATATTCAATAGCTATGTTAGTTCAGAGGGTAGCCATATTTTCTTTAGAGGAAATTAGTAGAATGGATACTTTTAGATGTGGCTGGCTGAAAATCCTCTATAAATGGAGGTTTTGATGGGAAAATAATCTATAGTTTAGGGCACCAGTTTTTTAGGAAACAGGTCCAGTATTTGGAAGTCAAGGCCTCAAATAAATAAAATGATCATTTTAACATGTTGGTGTTTTTATTCCTTGCAACGCACAAACCATCATACACCCAAGATCTTCCCAGTGAACATAGGAGCCGTTTCTTGAAAATTTGTCAATATGACAGGACACCCTGTGCGAGTATGCCGACGGGCGCCACAGCTGCATTTTTTCGCTGCATGGGAGTCCATCATGGAAGACCTTCAAGTGGGGAAGGTGTCTACCACCCATTTCTGGTACCCAGCTGGTAATCAAACAAGAAATTCCCGGAAGTAAATGGGGGTGTCCATAAATGGGGGATCCGGATCCCCAAAAATGGATGATTTATTTCATGGAACATTCTATATGACTGGATGATGACTGGGGGTCCATAGGAAACCCCCAAATGAACATGATTTTCATGCTAATGGGTGATTTTCCATGATGCATCCTGCACCGCCCCAAGGATTGCAGAAGGTGCGTTCCAAAGAGACAACGAGCTCACACAGCTTTTGCAGGAGCTAATCATCAGCTAATTTGCCCAAATTGGGTGTTTTCCTGAAACAAAATGGGTATGGATCAATGCCTATTAGTACCATTTTTAGTGGGATGAACATCCATTTACCAGCTATTTTGATGTTCACCAGGGGTACAAGGTTTTGACACACTGCCAAATGGGTAAAATGTGATGGTTCCCTGAACTGCACCTAAAATCTTGACAGATATTAATTTGACCTTTGACCGTGCACCAAAAAACAAGGCACCAACGGGCCCAGAAGGTTTTTCTTTGACAACAATCCAGCTATTTGTCATACCTATGGATCCAAATACTTCCGGAGGTCCTAAACCCCCGAAATCAAATCCCACAAGAACATGAACCACCTCTCGACTTGGTACGGATCATACAGATTTGGTCCTTAGAGCAACCGTGGGAGGACCTCCTTGGCGGTGCGTCCCTGCGTTTCCGCGAGCCACCGGTTGCCCCACCAACTGTGGCCCCACAAACTGTGGCCCCACGGGGCACGGTGGTCGCTCCGCGGGGCACCGTGGCGGCAGTGAAGCCAGCGTTCCAGTGGGGAAACCCAGGATACCCTCTGGTAAACTAACATATAGCTATTGAACATGGCCATAGAAATAGTGAGTTTTCCCATTAAAAATGGTGATTTTCCATAGTTATGGTGATGTTTACCAGGGGGTAGTGTACGTACCCCAAAACCCAAAGGGGTTCATCATCATTTTCCCAGGAAAAGGCGACATCAATGGCCGGCTTCCCAGGTTGACGGTGACCATGACGGGTGGATCCCTTCCGGTCGAGCCGAACCGCCCGCCCAAAGCTGTGAAGAACAAAGGTTCCTGGGCTGCAGTGGCATTATCCTCTGGTAAATTAACATAGACCCTGATAGATAGGGGTTGGAAGACTAGTTTCCATTAAAAATGGGTGATTTTCAGGGTCTATGTTTATTTACCAGAGGGTAGGTTCTGGGTTTCTGGATCACATTTTTTTGACCCAGACACACTCAAGAGAATGGGTAATGATTGTAATGTATGCCAACAACATACTCAACTTTCTTAAAGCAGGTATGTGAAATAATGGGAATGGAGAACTGAAATTCATTTTCAACTGGAAGATCATCTTCCCTGGTTTCACGTTCCAGCTCCAGGGTTGTTTGGTCAATTCAGTGGTAGAACCATCACATCCTCCACTGTTTTCTGAACTGGTTTAAGTTTAAGCTATGCTTTTTGGAAACAACACATTTGAAGGTCAAAACAGCTTTCTTTCAAATGAACATCAATCCATTGAATTGTCCAAAGAGGCCGGATTTCAATGGGTGTTTTCACCTCGTCTGACTTTTGCAGAGGGCCACCCTCAGTCCCTTGCCTGATGAATTTCTGCGTAGGTATCGATTGGTGGAGCTGATCCATGAAACAGATCCGCGACTGTCCCTCGTGCATCATTTTCTACGCCTCGCGTGCGTCGCGAGTGCAGGGTACGAGCGCAGTTAACGTGTGTACATATGGCTGGTCAAATCGCCTCACAAACTTTGAGAATGAAACTGAAACATGTTTTTTCGTTTTTTTGCCACTTAACCATGGTGTTGTTAGAGGATGCTTGGTGGATTGACAATTTGACGAGGCAGGGATAAGAAAAAAAATGGAGAAGCGATGTCCTGGGAGATGGGGCCATGTCTGTCTGAAGTGCATTTCAAGAGGTTTTGTTTTCCAATACATCGACGTTTTGCCATAGAATATTGGGGATTTTTCGCATTGCTGGGCCAGATTGCCGCAGGGTATCCAGTAATATCCAGTATATAGATATTGTCATATTTGTGTATATCATATATATAATTATATATATATACTGTAATATTATATGTTCAAAGCCAGCTTCATCTCCACTTTCTCATTCGTTACGAGTCAGTATAGGGCTTCCAAAGGGCCCTTTCACCCCCTCCAGGATATTTTGAGTTGACCTTGTTATCCACCAAGGTGGGTTCAAACGGGAACCCCGTAGGGGGGCCGAGCTTGGAAGCGGAGTTTGAGAGTTCCATGGAGTTGGATGAAGCAAGATGTTGGAAGATGCTGGAGGATGCTGTACCCTCTGGTAAACGTTTACAGAACTATGGAAAATCACCATTTTTGATGGGTAAATCCAGTATAAATGGCCATTTTCAATAACTATGTTAGTTTACCAGAGGGTAAGATATTGGAAGTGTCTTCATTGATCCGGAGGATCTCCGAACTGTCACGTCGAGTCACGTCTCGTCCCTTGAGGCACCACCCAGAAAATTTGCCAGTGCGAATCTCGCACGGTGGGCACCGCTCAGGGGGCGAAGGAGATTGTTGGGATTGTTGGAATGGAGTTCCATGGAATTGGATGAAACAAGCAATTCCCATCAAAACAGTTGTACGACTGTACAACCCCATGTGTATATTATATATATATATATATGTGTATATATATATATATACACACACATAACAACACATCAACACCACCAGGTACTTTAGGCATAGCTCACCAGAAGTTTCCGTTTTCGAAGTCACTTACCATAGATGGGTTTGATCTAAAAGAGATTTTCAATTCAAATCGGAGTTCTGAGTGTTTTGAACTTAGTTACTGCAGATTTACATTCCCAAAAAACAATGTGCATTTCAAGAGGACATTCATTTTCTAAGTCCCATTTCCGGGCATTCCATTCCATCCCACTCAATTTTTTTCGTTGAAAGTCAATCATCTCCAGAAGCAGCTGACCCAGCATCAGCTGACCCAGGCTCTGCATGTCTTCCGGCCGTTGGCGGTCGCAAAGATACCATGGCAGTGATGTTGCAGCAGCTCCCAGCGGCGGTGCAGTCCTAGGTATACCTGCGATGTTCTGTCCCTCAACATTTATTCGTGGTGAAAATATTGGTATTCCAACTACCTCAACTTCTATGAACGCGCAATGGTCAAGTTGAGGAAGCCGAACCTAGCGAATTTGAGCATCACATGTCATCATTTTGTGCAAAATGTGGGCCACATTCGGGTGTGTCTCAAGCAGTTTTGATGAGACAATTACGAATTTGAAAGAGGCTAAGTTGGACACAGCTAGCAAGATATATTTTGGGCCCTCGAGTCAAGTACTGCTGTTTGATGTTCCTTTAGGAGCGGGAAAACTGGTCCCTTCCCAATCCTTTGTGACAGAAGTTCCATGGTTGTTGCTCATTTTCGCCGCCTTTGCTTGGCCGTATCTTATGTTTATTGCTGATTTCAAAATCTTCTTCCTCACCTTGTTCCAAGAGTAGCAACTCCCGCTTTTTTGTCACGGAATCCCTCTGCATAGCTAGGCCAGAATTGCATCGAACCTGCCATTTGTTGAAGCAGCCGCTCCTTTTTATGGTCAGAGCCTCGAAGTGCGAGCGATTTTTGGTGCGAGCGATGTGCTGCAGTCAGTATATTCATACAGATTTTCCGAACATCAAATGTAGGATATGTAAAGCTGCAACTACCATCAACTATATTGTATAATGATGATAATGATGTTCCGAACATCAAATGTAAAGATCAAAACCTGCAAGTATCATTATCATTTGATGAAACGGAACATCATTAATTATACAATATAGATCAATATAGTTGATATTATATAATGATGTTCCTCAGAATTTTGAGGAATTTCGTATCAGTCCTTTTTCGTTTCGAAACGAGGATCGACCCGCTGCAATGTTCCTGCTGGTCGATGGGCTCAGGGAATCCAGCGTTGGGGCGCCCAATGTTTCGGAACGGCGTCGGAACATGTTGTCATTATGGGATCTAAATGGGGATCCAATTAGAATCTAATGGGGATATAATATACGTGTATATATATATATACATATATTATGTATATATATATATATTATATATATATAAGTACTGTATATTTAGTGAATTCCACACTTCACCCACCGGTAATCCAAGATGGGAAGGAATTGAGCCATCAACAAATGAAGATTTCATTGGATTTAATGAACCAATGGGATGTAACTAACGAACAAAATGATACTAATCCCATTTCAATATAATAACATTAAACACCACTGAGAAAAGGTGCTTTTTTTGGGGGGATGAAGTCACTTTCGAATGGGACCATCGAATGGTGGTGTTTCATATCAACAGCAGGATGGGAGGTGGATTAACAGGGAAAAAATATAGTTGACCAGTAGATGTAGGGGTTCCCCGATTTTTAGACAAACTATAGTGATCAAGAACTACTGAAATTGACATATATTGGCACATATTGGCACCCCCTATGAGTGTTTACTGGTGGTTCATTACTCCTTGTTTGGTTTATTCGTGATGATTAAGGTTTATTAGTGATTTTAATAATCAATGATTAGTGGTTATGATCACTATAAGTAATGATTATAAACATCATTAAACACCATTAAGAATCATTACTCATTGAGAATACACCATTGGTGTTTAATGGATGATTTTTGATACCCTCTGGTAATTTAACATAGCTATGGAAAATCACCATTTTTAATGGGAAAATTCACCATACATGGCCATTTTCAATAGCTATGTTAGTCATTACCAGAGGGTATGATAGTTTTTTTTGGGGGCGACCTCCTCCAGTTTTTCGCTGCAGGCGGCTGCTGCATTTTGCGCTCAGAGATTTCACACCTTCTTTTTGCCTCGGTGTGGAGCTCAGGGCCTCAGGGCTGCCACTGAAAAGCTGGGCATAGCTATTGAAAATGTTGATTTATAGTGGATTTTCCCATGAAAAATGGTGATTCTACATAGTTATGTTAGTTTACCAGAGGGTAACAGATGATCTTCATTACTGACACTAATCCCTTCCTCCTAATACTATCTAATACTAACCACCCCCAAATAATAAGCACTTTACAGGTAGTTTTTATTATTAGGGGGGTATTTATTGTTAGGGAACCAAAGTTGGAGTCATGTAATTAATTATAATTATGTTTTTTTTTTTTCGATTTCAAAATCAATTAAATATCCTTTTATAACCCAATTAAAATATTGCCAAAAATTGGATTTCGAAGCTTTCCCCTAATAATAAATTAAAACCCTTAATAAAAAACTAAATGTTTTCGATTCCAAAATTAACTATATAGATTTCCTTTCATAACCCATTGAAATATTGCCAAAAATTGGGTTTCGAAGCGGACCCTAATGATAAATTATAACCCTTAATAAAACACATTTTTTTTTTCGATTTCAACATCAATTAAATTTCCTTTATAACCCAACTAAAATATTGCCAAAAATTGGATGTCGAAGCGGACCCTAATAATGAATTAAACCCTTAATAGAAAAACTATTTTGTTCGATGTCAAAATCAATTAATTTTCCTTTTCTAACCCAATTAAAATATTTCCAAAAACTAAATTTCGAAGTGGACCCTAATAATAAATCAAAACCTTAATAGAAAACTATTTTGTTGGATTTCAAAATCAATTAAATTTCCTTTTATAACCCAATTAAAATTTTGCCAAAAATTGGATTTCGAAGCTTTCCCCTGTTATCAATTTCGATTTCAAACGGACCCTAATAAAAAACACCCGGGGCTAAATAGTTTTTATTATTAGGGGGTGAAACCCACAAATAGTAGCTTTATTTTTAAATTGTTTTCTAAAGGGGATCAATTAAAAGTCAAATTGGCCAACTTCAAATTTTCCAAAATTGGAGACGGACCCTAGTTTTTATTATTTGGGGAGGTTTAGTAATAGGAGGAAGGGTATAAGGTATTGTCGTTCATATACATATATATATATATAGTCGTGTTGCTACAGGCTACGAGCCTTATATTGTTGTCATTAAATCATTACTGTGTTGTTTTCCGTTTTTTGAACCATAGCCTCTTTGATCTCATTCGGCTGTTTCAGAGCATTTTGGACGCATAAATACCAGGGGGTGGTTGTTGAATGGATGATACCGAGATTGGCGGAATGACTTCAGTCTGGATGACCCTAAGTGCTCTGTGTTTTATGATACAGTATGGCAAGCTAGACTACATAATAGAGTGGGCGGGCACTAGCACATGGTTTCTCGGAATTTTGTGGATTCCCACAGGGCCCACCTCCCTATGAGCCTGGAAAACTTGACCTTTGGCGATAAGTTCAACCAGAGTCTGAACGGAGTCACCTTTCCAAGCAGTCTTCAGCGCTTGACCTTCGGCCACCATTTCAATCACAGCCTCGAAGGAGTGATCTTTTCAAGTAGTCTTGAAAGCTTGACCTTTGGTAATCGGTTCAACAAGAGCCTGAAAGGAGTGACTTTTCCCCGCACTATTTCAATGCTTGACCTTGGGTTATCGGATATCGTTTCAACCAAAGCCTGGAAGGAGTGACCTTTCCAAGTAGTCTTGAAAGCTTGACCTTTGGCAGTCATTTCAATCACAGCCTCGAAGTTGTGATTTGGGTATGGGTTCGCAAAGACTGGAAGGGTCGCCTTGCCAAGCGGTGTTCGCAGTTTTTCATGTGGTGGTGTGTTCGTCAGCAGCCTATGATAGATTTGAGATGACTGTTGAACAAATTGCGCCGCAGTGTTGCACAGCTTGCTGCTGGAGACCTACTAAACTAAACAGCTAACCAAGAGCAGTTTGGAGCTGGACAAAAAGAAGAAGGTGAAGATCCCTACTATTAGTAAGCATCTTCCTCTTCTCTCCCTTGCCGATGAAAATACGTGCAGTCTCTTTCACCTCTTCTGAAAAGCTCACAGGATTTACATTTTGATCATTTTGTGACCACAAAAAATGGTTCAGAATTGGTCAGCAGCTGACACAGAGAGACATTTTTTCAAACCCTTGGTCTCTCAGAACACATGGTCGGCAAGTGGGTTGGTTCGCTCGCCCCTTGTGTATCCAATTATGCGGGAACAATTTACCTAATTATTATACGTATAACCAGATAACCAGCTATTTGATCTCATGGTCCATCTAAGTACACAATGTGGTTCCTCCCAGTGGTGTTTATTGGTTTCTAAACCCACCAAACTATGGATATACTTACGATCTTAGTCAAGCTACTTGCAAACGAACATAGCTAGTGCTAGTAGACATAGAATATCAATCCATCTGGGTAGATTTCATCACGACCTCACGTCGCGACCTCACTATAATCATAGTTAGTAAGGGGAATCATCCCCAAATGGCCTTAATTCAGGTCAGTGAAATATTATAATTTACCCAGAATCCATATCAATCCCAATTTTTCTTGGATCCAAACATGTTTGGTGCTTTGAGATCACCGTGTTTGTTCGCCGGGAAACGCTTGGGTCAAAACCACCAGCCAGTGATGTTGGGGAAAAAAACCATTTGGGCGTGTCTGAAATCCGGTATACCTTTAAAATCACTGAATTCTATAGTGAACATGCTGATAAACCATCAAGATTTGGTGGTTTTTCGCCCAATAATTTTCAGGCAAAGCCATTTCCTACAACGTTCTGGAGTCCTAAATTCAACCACATGGCTTTGTGCGAAAATCGTATACCCCCGATGACATCCATTGGTTCATGCCGCCGCGAGGCTTAGCAGCCGGCAAGATGAGCGACTTGGCACTGGGGATTCAGTGGGAGGATGGTAGAGATCAACTTATCAGTGGCTGGGATCTGGAAAATTGAGGAGGCTGGGCCACCAACAAAACATGGCCAGTTTGATGGGGAACATGATGAAAACTTCTGGGATGGAATGGGGGTACATCATTTTGAGAAAGTGTTTTTGGTTCACCAGCAAAACATGGGGGATTTAACCCTGGGGTGAACCAACGTCAATGTGGACAACGCTTTTTCCGAAGGACAAAGATCTACAAATGGTGGGTTTTACAGATCTGTAGAATCTATGTTAATTGACTGGGGTAGCCATCCAAAACACATGGATATGGCTTTGGTTCCACAAGATCCACTACTTAACGATCAGAGTATACCCCATTTTCAGACACGTCCATGTGATGGGTGTGCAAACAGGGAACTGGTTGTTGGTATGCAAGTGTGTGAGGCAAAAAATGGAGGATGATGCTTTCATGTTCCCGCCGTGGGTTTTTGAACATTACCAGCACAAGTCCTTCTAACCCTTCATTCTGAATTCTTATCCGTTGGAAGGGAATGATGCGTCAAAAAACCTGCAATGATGAGGCAATCCATTTAGACCCATGTTTGTGGGTCAACTCGGTTCAATACCCTTAATTATGTAAAAATTGGTTATCTATCCCCATGGTGTGATTTCAGGACGGTTAAATGGTTAAGATCGGTTTGTTAACATGTTAACATGTTAGCATGTGTTAAAACCATGGTAGCCACCCCCCAATTCTTGATGAGAGCAAGGCCGGAGGACTTCGAACTGGTGGAGATGGTGAACCAGGTGACCGATGTTCTGTGGTCATATGTAAAGAATACGTGGAACACGTGCTTTCTACCAGGAAAATATAGGAACATGGTTAAATAAATGTAAACAATGACTGACTTCCCATTATGGGTCAACATACGGGATATAGTTACGGACAGTTATGACATCCTCTGATAAATTATACAACATAGCAGTAGACTACAAGTGGTGGATTTTTCCATGACTATCTTAATTTACTATTGATATTTACTGTGCGGATAACAGAATTCACTTATTCACTTGTTGTCTTCAAAAACAAGCGCTGTCAAGACAAATTCTAGTGAGTATCAACATGTATTAATTGCAGGGTTGTTCAAGCAGGGTAGGCAAAAAAAAGATCAGTGCCGAGGACTTAAGGTCCCCAGTTGCCAATGATGTGGGATGGATAAGGACCAACAAAAAAGTTGTCCCGACGGGCCACATATGGTGAAGTACATATATGCAAATGATATTACATCACTTAACATCAATGATATACGTATAACAGCAATGATATATCACTTAAGAGCAATGATATATCACTTAACCATTGCTTGAGGAATCCCAAGATGGCTTTATCTGAACGGCCTATTGCAAATTTTGACGTTTGATCATCTATTTCCCGATGAACAAAGTGCAATAGGGGGCCCACCCAGATATCATATCAAGTTGGTTGTGTATCCTACTATATCCTCACAAAATGGTTGTTTATAGACTCCCCCATAACTTTGTTGGTTAAACCCCCTACATACCCCGGAACAATGGTGAAACATCCACTATGTTTGATGCTGAACTCTCAGTTTTCATGGCTAAATCCTCATTTTTGTTGGGTTTTCATAGAGTTTTGTATAGTTCCCCCATGGGTCACTCCTCATTTTTGCCTAAATCAACACAGGATGGTGCCCCCAAGTTATAAGTTTGTTTATAAACCCCATTAACTATAGTTATATCTGCCATAAACCATAGGTTTAATGGGAGTTATATTCACCAACTTAGCTAACGAACTGGGGCACCACCTTGCATGGTTTGTGGTACATCCCCGCAGCTGAGCTGGAAACCTCTGGGTGCAGGCCATTGAGGATTTGGAGAAGTCCTTGCTGGACAGCAACGCGCGCTATGCAGGCCTCACGTGGATGTGAACGCGGAAGCAACCTATCCCAGATATACGGTATCTCAGTATATATATGTATATATATGTATATATATATATAAACGTGGGATAGAATGGAATTTCACAGGAATTCATGGGATATGATGTGATACGCAGATAATTATATATATATACACACCTCGTACATCACACGAACACAACTTTCCGTGCTTTGGAAATGTGGAAATGTGCGCATTTTTGAAATTTCTGCGCTGCGGCTAAATTTGAGCGCGTTTTGCACGAAGGTGCGCGTAGTTTGAATGTTGGCTGGAATGGCTGGCAAACCCAACTTGGATACTCTTTGAAATTGCGCTCGTTTGCGCCAAATTGAGCGCAAAATTGTGCGCGGTGTTTTGTGACCGTGGTTGCCACCAAATGGTCCAGATTTTTTACTGCCAACCATCGAAGTGAAGATGTCTGCACATTTGGCTGAATTTGCACGTTTTGTCAACATGTCGGTCGTTTGACCCTTTTGTACGTTTTTTCTGCTTGAACACTTATTTGTGCACGTTTGTAGTTCCATTGTTTTTTTGGGGTGGTAGCATGAACACAAGACTATAGTTCATCATTGTTTCCAATCCAGATGGCCATTGAGGTCTATAATTACCCAATTTTTAGACACACCCAATTCTGCACATGTGTCATACCGTTAGAAATTCCTGACTGATGGTCCACCAAATCATCATGAATAACTCCTCCAAATATGAACCAAACATGTCATCAAATTTCACTGTCTAGCAGAGGCTATAGCATTTTTTTCTCTTAAACTCCCATGGATCCTTGTTTGTTGCTTCTATCGCCCATGATTATTCCATATTATTCCAGTTTATTCCACAGTGATTCCATATAGTTATTCCATTTCTATTCCATTAATATAATTATGGACCATAGTTTCTCCGAACCAAGTATCCCATAAATATCGCATGCCGCATACCCGTATCCCATACTATGTATACATAATTTAATATATACACATTGTAATCTCAAATAGACATCCTATAAAATCATGTTTTTGGGGAGTAGTCCCCAAAGTTGTGACCTCCCCCAAATCACAACACTCTCACAGGCTGTGGGCTCGTTGGGTGCTCAGTGATTCCCGTCGAGACACTGGCTTGCTGTGGCCAGCCAAAATACCTCGGTATGATTGTAATGGACAATATAATTCTGGTTGGTGGTTTCAAACATTTTTATTTTCCATAATATATGGGATAATCCTTCCCATTGACTAATATTTTTCAAGATGGTTGAAACCACCAACCAGAATTGGTTATGATGATTATTATCAGTATTATTAGTATTACCCACTTAATCGGACATGCCGCTGCCTATTAACCAACCAGTATAGTGGGATGGGTTAGGGGTATTTTTCATGGCTCTAGCTGAATTTGTACGCCCCATAAACACACCCGTAAGATTTTGTATCAATCCTTTTGAGATCTTTTGGCATCTGCGTCGCTTTCGCACCAGTCTTTGGTACTTTTTGTTGGTAGGTGCTGAGGTTAGCCTTTTTCGCAGCCATGGATATATGGAACAGCCATGTTTTTTTTTGGGGACAGCATGACCTGCATGGCCTGATTTCACACTCTGGGGGCAGTGTTGAGTGTTCGCTGGCGGTTTCGGGGGCATGGCCACGCTAAGACCTGAGAAAAAAAATAGAAAAAATGTAAATGATGCAGATGATGCAGATGATGCACTAGTTGATTGTGCATCCCACTTAGAACCTGGATTGTAAGCCGAAATAGAGGATATCCCACAGATAGGTGGATTACTAAGCATGGCCATGAATCACTTGTGAAATCCACCGCTCCGAGCCCTGGACTGGCCGGCCAGGGCCAGTGTATTCGACATCGATGCTGATCCAGGGTTTTTACTACTTAGATCTACCTAGTTTTAATCTTGGGAAAACAAATGAACAAACTAAGAACAACGGCTTGATGTTTGGTAACGCCAAGGCATTGCTGCTGGTGCTTGGCCAGCGAGTACTGGTGCTTTACCTGAGATTGGATGGACCCAGCCGGGGCAGCCCCATGTTTTTGATATGATTTTGCGATGTTTTGGTGGTTGAACCAACATTCGAATTGGTATCTATATTAATGTGTTTACAACCAGCCAAAAAATGGGAATGTTTTTGCGTGTCTGAAACTGGGGGATTGACCCCCCTTAAATGGGGCAATTTGAATCGGATTTCCGTCATGTCCGACCCATCATGTTTAGACAAGTTCACATGAAAAACCGTATGTGTTGGATGGGTTTCCAACCCGGGTCCAAGGGACCCGGTGAAATGGCGATGATTTCAAGGTTTGGGGGTGACAGGGGGGGATGCTTCAATACATTTAGGATCTGAGTGTGCCAGGTTTGATGCCACATCTAAACTCGCATGATGGGAATTGCCTTGGCCCATCCGTCTTGGGAGTTGTGCCAAAGTTGTTTTTTCATCACAAGTATATACTGCTCCACATTTTGCCAACAAGAGATTCATGTTGCAGTTTGAATACATTCGCATCTTTTTTTCCCCGCTTATTTTTTTCAGCTGCATTTTTTCTAGTCTTTCTTTTTGAAGGAGAGGGACGTTTGTTACATACGGCGTTTCTTGTCATTTGCCAAGATCATCTTGTTTTGCGAAGCATCCTGAAGAATCCTGTGAGTCAACTCGATGCAATGCCCGGGGGTGTTCTCTCGTGGCCCAGGTAGCCAATGTTGGAAATTGCAGGGCAGTGATGTGGGGCTCTCAGCTTGTCGTGACATCATCGCTGCTGTGGATGCTTGAAGTTTAAGGTGCACCCCGCCGAAACCGAGTGGCGAGGGGCTTGCCGCCCCATCGCGAGAGCCCAGGGGGTCTGGAAATGGTGACGTCCAGGGTGATCTGTCACTTCGAGAAAAACCCTAGCCACAAAGGAAGATCAATATCAACGGATTGGTTTTGCTGGGAAAAATCATGAAAAATCTGAACCGGAAAGCATGGTTTTTATATGTTTTTTACCATCAAATATAGGGGTTTAATTTCCTGCAACTTTTTCCTCAGACCAATCCAATGACAATATTTCGATGAGGATTGATACTCATTTCAGGGTTCATCCAAATGGGGTGTAGAGGATAAACCAACAATGACTGGGTGGATCCAAGCAGGAATTCTGTGTCATGAGGGGCTACATATACCTAATATACCCTATACTTTTAGCTCAGAACTTACTACCTATGTGAGGATTTGACAACATGGAACCAGTCTGAAACTCTCTGAAACTTGCCTAATGTTGACTGAAACTAAAGGTGCTTCTCTCATCTTGGCTTAACAGTTGACATTGTGTGAAGCTGGTATTAAGCTGGTGGTTCTATTTACATCTCGGTTTTCCTTCCCAGAATTGCCCTAAAGGAAAAACCATCACAGGAATTCAGTACGGTCTGACACATTTTGAGCAATTTTGCCAGCCCAACAATCAACTATCCACAGCTTGGGGTCATGGATTTACGCCCCAAATCACCAAAAAGCCCATGGGTTTCCTCCACATTTTCCCCATCGCCGAAAACTCAGGCCCAAGGACCCCTGGAAGATCCGCCTCTTGGTAGGTGGTGGGGAACCCAGCCGTATGCTGATTATCATCCTTTTTTATGGGATTCATGATGATTCATGGGAGTTTGATAGGATTTGATAGGCTTTAAAGACCAACAAAAACCAATCCATTGACTTATATCATTATTGTCTCCAAAAATGACTCTGTGTTTTCTTGAGCCTTGAGCCATTTGTTTTAAGGATTGAAACTCTAACGAAGTTTTCAGCATCTCTCCAAGTTTCGAGGTGGCCCCTCGGGGCAGGCCTTAGCAGATGTGGTGAAGTTAGAACGCCTGCGGAGGTTAAAGGCGGTCGAGCTGCCGGGGCAAATGATGTGGGGATTTTATGGGATTTATTGGGTTTTCATGGGGGTTGTGATGGGTTTTCATGACTCTTTGTTTTAAATGGATGTTGGGGATTAAAACATATTAAAACCAGTATACAGAACAAAACTTGCATTGCAGTGAGAAAATTTTGGGATTATACATGTTAATATGTATTCCTGGTATGTTACATATGTTATATAATACATACACCCATAGCATTTTGATCATGTTTTGCCATGCTCCGGTTGCGACTGCCTCATCTTGGCTCTGTCGCGCCAGGAATACGCACCCTTAGATTTCGAGGGCAAACCTGGGGATGTGCTGAGCGGCTGCAGTGTTGGGGCACCTGGAGATGGGGCTGTGCCATGGGGGAAAGAATCAAGGGACCTTGATATTAACGGGATTTAATATATTTAATGGGATTTAAGGGGATATATCATCAAACCCACATTGGTGAAACAAAGTCAGCTTTCTGGTTTGGAGCTTTTTGTTTGGGGGAATAATTGAATAGTTTGATGAATCATATTTTCTGAGTGAAGTGTGAAGCTAGAGATGTCGAGCCGATCCACATGCCTGGGCCTGTGGCTCGAGTGATGAAGCGTTCCTTCGGTCTCTGGGGCGGTTGGGGCGCTCGGGTCCTGGGTATCTTGGGTTGGAGCTGTTTTTCTCACCTTTCCACGGGTTGGATCTGCGCTTTTGCGCTTCCGCGACGCGACCTGTTGGCTCGCGGAGTCGCAGGACAGGGGGTCAGCAACGATATTCTGAGCCGTTCTGGATCAAGTACTTTAAGCAATGACATGGCCGTGCTGGCCTTCATTGCGGATACGACCACGCCCAATGGAAAAGCCTTGGTGCAACTGGTGACTGAAACAGATGCGACAGAGACTCTTGGATTCTGTTGGTTGGAGCGATCCGGCGTCACCATCGACCAGGAAAGCTGAATCCACATCAATGTGACGACTACTGAAATTATCTCAAATTATTAAACAAAGACAGCCATAGAATTTGTCAGATCCTTTTGTCAATATTTTGCACCTATGGCCTCCCCCGGATGAACTCCGATGTGTTCTATTTAAATCTCTATGAATCTATCTATCTATGAATCTATCTATCTATCCATCCATCCATCTATCTATCTATCTATCTAATCTAATCTAATCTAATCTAATCTAATCTTATACATCTTATCCTATCCTATCCTATCCTATCCTATCCTATCCTATCCTATCTATGTATCTATCTGTCTGTCTATCTATCTATCTATCTATCTATCTATCTGCCATAGATCATTGGCATGGCCATCGGCCCTTTTTCCTTCCCGTCTAAGGACGTCGCAGTGCATCTTCGGCAACTGCCTGGAGGACTTTACCTCCTCGCCGAAATTGGCCGAAGTCGACGTGCTGGTGCTGGCCGTCTTCGCCGGCGGAAACCCACAGGTGATTGCGGAGCTGTGGCCGCAGCTGAAGGCGCGGTGATGCATGGCCGGAGCTTGGATGGTCTGGCAAGAATGGATGGAGAAGAGGATAGGTGGGGATAACTGTATATATTATAGTATATATATATATATGGCAGTGTGTCAAAACCCTGGTACCCCTGGTGAACCTCAAAATAGCTGGTAAATGGATGTTCATCCCACTAAAAATGGTATTAATAGGTATTGATCCAATATATATTAAATATATATATATATATATAGATGATCATATATACATACATATATATATATATGTATATGGAAAATCACGGAAAATCATATCGACATCTATTTATTTGTTAAAGGAGCTACTGACTCAAAGTTTCAATTACGCATACCACACGACGGACGGTGTTGTTTGAAATGTTTTTTCCTGTTTTTGTAGTGCTATAGCCACTGTTTGTGGTTCTACATTCCTAAATCAATATCATATATCACGAAATATCTACAAACTATTTTGAACACCAGCAAACCTTGGTCTGGGGCTGAAACATTGGGTTGCCGATTTTGTTTCCGGAGTATCCGCGGGTAAAAGATGGGGTTTCTGAACCGAAGAATATAACGTGCTTCAAATTTCAAAAGGGTATCGAAGATTAGCTAGGAAAAAAACATATTGGTATGTGTTATGTGTCCAAATCTATCTATCCATCCATCCATCCATCCATCTATCTTTCAACCCTATCACCATCAACATACTGAAATCTCAATTGAAACCTAATCCGATCGCATTTCATCTAAGAATCTATCTCTTCCTTTCCTCTCTCTCTCTCTCTCACTCTCCCGCTTATATCATCTTAGATGCATATGTACCTATATGAATATATATATATATATACATACATACATGTTATATCTTTACACATATTATATATATATTAATATCTTATTATATCATATTATTATTATTATATATATATATATATATCTATGCATAAATAAATACCCCCTGTATATCTCCCCAACTTCTTACGCCTTTCCGCGTGCCAGGCCCAGGTGCGTTGGATTCACTCCTTGGCCGCCGGGGTCGACACCTTGGTGCCGGTGCTTCAGCAGCTGGGTGACGAGGCCCAAGCGGTGCCGTTGACCAACGCCAAGGGCGCCTTCTCGCGGTCCCTGGCGGAGTACGCGGTGGCCGCCATGATGCATTTCAACAAGCAGATCACAAGGCTTCAGGTGGGGTCAATCATAAATAATGGTATAATTATGATAAATAATGGTATAATTTTGATATCATATCATAAATTAATGGACATTATCAAAATCTTTCCTTCCATCAACCAATAGGGGCTTCAGGTGAGCTTTTTTGGTCTATGTAGTTCACAAATGATGGTTGATTTGTGATTTTAGGGGGTTATACTACCTAGTTTGCTGGGATGAGATGGCCAATCTATTGGGGGGTAAGAAAGATTGGGACTGTTGAAGATTGAAGCCTAACAATTTGGTGATACTCAATTTTGGAGCCAACATGAGCCAACACATGTTTGAGGTTTAGGGCCCAGAGTTTCTGATGATTTTGGTTTTGAACATCCTGGATTTGTGGTACTCGAATACAACCGGATGTTGGCCAACAAGTTCTGTGGGGGTTGACATTCTTTCGGGATCCCGCGGAGAAACCATTGGGATTTCACCAACAAATCGGGGCTGGTATAATCAGGTATAATCGACAAAAAGGGGAGCTTCAAACAATTTCTTGGCATTTATTATGGGACGATTGTCACAAAAGATTGTCAATGGCAACGTCGATGGTTTGTGGAGCGGCCCCAAGCCCAGGGTGCTCGCAGTTTCTTTGCATGCTGATGTAAGTGTCCCTGGCCGGGATTGGACGTTTGCTAGCAAGCTAGTAACCAAAAACATACCACGGCCGGGGCTTATTCTGCGGGGGACGTCACCGTTTTGTAGGGGTATGATCCCCAGATGGAAAGGACTCCCCTTCAGATTTTAGCTGTGTTGCCAATGTGTCTTGTTGCTAATAATTGAATATAACTGATATCTCCCGACCTGGAGGCAAATCGGGTCAGTCGCAACTGGGAGAAGTTCATCATGAACGAAGTGCACGGCAAGACCTGTGGATTCATTGGTTTCTGGATGTGCATCCCATCAACAAAATGGGTGAGCACCCCATGAAAGAAGCCACTTTATACGGGATATGAAATGATCTTAACCAAGAGGTGAAACAGTGATTTCCCCAACATTTTTTTTTAAATTTATTGTGTTTCTTTCAAATGATTTTTACGATAGAACAATATAGTGCTTACTAGACCACTGTTGAATATGTTTGCTGGTACCTTCAGATATTCCTTCAAATCATCCACTTCTATGGGCTGAATCCCCAGATACGTGTTTTTATTAAAGATACTCAATTTTGGGTTCGTAGTTATTTTCTATACCATCCTAAATCTTAATGGATTAATTTCCCATGTTTTCACGGCTAAATCCCTATGGAATATATGTATCATGGTTGAATTCCAATCTTTGCTGGTTAAATCATCATTTTCAACTTGTATTGCCAGTTAAATCACATTAAATCATACCAGCTCATAATTAATATTCACCTTAAATCATATTAAATCATACTAAATCCCCACTTTCAATGGTGAAATCCCCCCAGTTTGTTCAGTTTGTTCACCCCAGGCTTTGGCGACATCGCCCAGCACACGGCCCGGCTCTGTCGTGCCCTGGGGCTGCAGGTCCTGGCCTGGAGGAATCGCCAGGGGCTGCCAGGGAACGACTTGGCAGATCGGGTGACGTATGCCAGTGATGGACCCCAAGCCAAACAGGAGATGGGGATGGGGTTGGAGGGGGGGGTTGAAAAACCTGAAGTTGGATGAGATGTTTTTTTTTCTTCTAATTATTTTATGGGATTGACATGTTTTTTTCGTGGGGATATGATATTAATGATATGTTGAACATGCTTGAAGTCTACCTTTTTGAGGGAGATTGATGAGATATGAAATTGGGATTTTTCATGGGGATATGATATTAATGATATGAATGATATAAGGGGGTTGATATGAATGGGATGAATGAAAGATTCGATTCATGGGATTTAATGGGATAGCCCCGCCTCGAATGATGGGATCATCCCAAAAGCATTTGGGAACGGATCAAAAGCTATGAACTACCATACAGGCGGCCTCAAAGGATAGCTAAGTTGGTTGATTTGCCAAGGTCTTCTATCTATGGTTCATAGAGTTTATAGTAGATATGTAATTTCGTATCATTTTCGTATCGATCGTATTTTGTTTGGGGTTATACATGTTATTTCCACCAACTTATTGGGTCTTGTTGGGTCATAAACCAAGCATAGTATGAACATGACTTATGCTCCATATTTCACTGGTAATTTCAGGATCCTAAATTGGAGGTACTGTACCATACAAGGCCATATTTTGGGGGTATATCCCCTTACATAGCCCAAAAACATAGGCCTTATATATGTTAGGTACTTCCAATCAATCGGTTCCTGTTGCATGGCCATTGAATATTCATCCCATGGGGACCCAAGTGATCACCGGACCAGACAGGAGGTCTTTGAGCAGTCGGACTTCGTGATCTGTTCACTGCCAGGTGGTGAGGCGACATATCACGCCTGTGGAGTGCCTTGTGCCTGGAAGATGACGGACAAAAATGATGCTTACCCTGGGGTAAACATAGAAAAAGATGTGGAAAACACCATGGGTTTCCTTAAAGAATCTAGAAATAGTGGATTTTCGGCATCTATGGTAATTAGTTTATAGGGTAATAATGGTTAAATGTGGTTAATTGTGGTTAATAATGGTTAATATTAATGGTGACTAATGGAACATTCCTCTGATAATAAACCTTGGATGGCTGGATTTTCACTATAAATAGAGGTCTATATAAACAAGAAAATCATCCAAGTAAATTGAGGAAATTTCCAGCAAGCCATGTTTCATGACCGGAGGGTAATGGTGGTTCCCAGTTCCCTTAGACTTTTAGCTTTTTTCTTGAATGGTATACATAACCATTTAGGAGTAAATCTTTTAGCAGGGGAGCTGGGAACCAACTAAACCAGTGGTGAATTCATCGGGATAACTGGTTGGTGGTTTCAACATGTTTCAACCGCGTGTTATTTTCAATCCAGTTTGGGAGCATGATCCCAACCATTTTTTTCAGGTGGTTGAAACCACTCAGTAGATATTGATTTTTAATAGCAATTCGATCAAATAGTAGTTGTAATATGGATATGGACGATCATGGTGACTGATGAGGATGAGGATTCACTATTCCGACTACTAATTAATTACTGTCACAAGGATCAGTAATATTATCAGTATCACTATCAGTATTATTATCAGTACTACGTTCAGCATTTTTTATCAATCACATTGCTGTGATTTTGATGATGATGACGATGATGAGGATCAATTCATTACCATTACTATTATCGCAAATATTGTGTGAACTACCCATGGAAAAGTTTCAGTACGATCATCGTGTAAAGTGTAGAGTGTGGAGTATCAAGTGCGAAGTGTGGAGTGTAAAGTGTAGGGTGTGGAGTGAGAAGTGTAGAGTGTGGAGTGCGTGGTGTCAAGTGTAATGCGTGAAGTGTAAATACTGTAAAGTGTAGAGTCAGAGTCTGAAGTGTGAAGTGTAGAGTGCCCAGTGTCAAGTGTAAAGTGTGGTGACCGCCATTATCAGTAATTATCATTGATTATTAGTACGGATCATTTACTGTTGCTTTTCTTCTGGGTTTTGATGATCATTGTGATGGTCAGAGGTTTAGAATGTTCGTGATGGGCTGGGGTGTCATTGCATTGGCACCGAGGCAGCAGAATTTGCTGTTCCTTGGGCCGCCCATTCAGTCTGCGGGGGCTCGAAAATCATTGAACACCGATTTCACAGCAAGATATTCCAAGAGAGATCTTCCAAATCTTGGTGTTGACTCTCAAGTTCTTCCAAATCTTGGTGTTTAGAAGATACCTTCTGGTAAACTGACATAACTATGGAAAATCACCATATTTAATGAGAAATTCCACTATAAATGGTCATTTTCAATAGCTATGTTAGTTTACCAGAGGGTAGATGAAGATAGATTCAAGGCTTTCTTAGAGAGTCCAGATAAATCACCACGAGTGATGCAGGGGGGGGGCAGGGCGTGCAAGAAATTTGCCTTGAGACAACTTGTCCCCAAACAGCCAAAAGCATGACACAGCAATACACAGCATATTTCATAATGGTTTATAATTTATAATGGTTAATTTACATACCATCTGGTTATTTAACATAGCTATGGGAAATCACCATTTTTAAAAGGTAAATCATCATAAATCATCTATAAATGGATCATTGTTAAATAACCAAAGGGTGTATATATATATATATATATGTTGATATTTAACTATCAAATATGGGTTTTCAACCATCAAACATGGTGGTAGACAATGGCTATATAATGGTTCATAATGAATGGTTGATAATGATTGTATAACTAACTTTAATGGATGAAGAATGGATATTTGGAATAATGTGGCAAACCCAATGCCATAAACTTACCATTTGGGGATGGTAAACATACCCACCCATCAAAAATGGTGAAACGTTGGGCTGTGTTATGGCATTGGGTTTACCACATTAGGAGTAGTGGCAGGAATGATCGTAATTCCGTCACCAGGGGTTTAAGTTCGGTTGATGTTCCTATTTCAGTCGCGTATTTCTGGGTTGAGATCCCATTTCTTCCACGGCTGTACTGTTCAATCCTTCCAAACTTAGTGCTGAAGTAGGGAATGGGGGAACGTGATGATTGTTCATACTTATGGATTATATCATTCCCCCATTCATTGGATTGGTTTAAGGGAAAATCTACAGGAAACCATTGTTTTTACCATCAAATATAGGGCTTTCCTGCAAATTTTCCCATCATCCAATTCTATGACCCATTCCCTACGTTTAGGACCAGAAATTGGAACGCCAACCTTCGAAGGTAATGAAGCCGACGGCTGTCTTTATTTCGATTGGGCGAGGTGAGGAGTCGCGGACAGGTTGAGCTGTTGATTTGGGCGGTACCATTTTGGTAGGACATGACATGACTAGCCTCGGTAAACATACAAAAAGCTATTGAACATGGCCATTTATAGTGGATTTACCCATCAAACATGGTGATTTTCCATGGTTATGTTAGTTTACCGGAGGGTAATCATGACTATTTGCGCGGGTACAATCCAATTATTCTGGGTTTGTTGATGCGGGATTGACATCAAAAATCGACATTCAGCAACTCATTTCAGGTTTTTCAATGTCAATCACGAAGATTGTAGCACCACACACACATAGGACTTAATCATCAAATTGTGGCTCTGGCCAAGGGAAATATGAGGCACTCACCATCGCAATGAAGCCAAGGAGTTTGACTACATCAGCTGATGTCGACCATCTCCAAATGTTGGTTTCCTGAAATTGTGGGTACCCCGAAACCATTGGGGTTTCCCGTTGATAACCAAATTTGGATGATAACCTGGGGTACCCCCATGGTTAGGAACCTCCAAATGTTGGGATATCTCCAGAAACCAGGCTCCTGCGTAGATGAAACGGCCCTTCTGGAAGTGCGGCTTGGAAGCACTTGAGGGAATGTACATAGAAATCAAATGACATATCCAGATATATCCAGACCATCACATGGAACACATCTGTATAATTCGAAAATCATAGACCGCCTAAAAAAACAAACGGTGACTTTCACACTTCACACTGCAGGATGATTTCCATGAGAGCCTCACCTTTTTTCAAGTGATGCTCCAAGAGATGAGGCTGAAAAGCAAAAAGATCTTGGGGGCCGCCTTGGATGTTTTCGAAAAGGACGGTTTCTGGAGCTGGGGTGAGGCACTTGGTCATCTGGTTTCATTGTTAGAAGTGACGTCCTCCCTGATGACTTCAATTGACATGAAAGCTGTGGAAAAGTTTGAAGCCACCAATCGCAAATGGATACTCCAGAAGATTGCTGTTAGTTCACCAACAAACATGGAGGATGAACAATGCCGGGTGGTATCCCATTTGAGATCTGTAATCATATTCTATCATTTATATTTTCCATAGCCAACATCCGTGATTCCTTCAGCTCAAATTTGGACCCATAGGAACTCCACGGAACTCAGATTTGTTGGTACAAGCCCGGCGGTTTCCTGATGTTTTTTCCCTTGACATACCCTCTGGTAAACTAACATAACTATGGAAAATCACAATTTTTAATGGGTAAATCCACTATAAATGGCCATTTTCAATAGCTATGTTAAATTACCGGAGGGTACCAATGATACCCCCCTTCCGTTGGCCCGTTGGCCCCTTCGAACACTTGCTGCCCTCCAGGAGCCTTTGTCGCCGGAATCACCGCTGTGGGACATGGAAAATCTGTTGCTGAGCCCGCACAACGCTGACCTCACTCCAACGCCCCTGGGTTTTACCATGTTTTACCCTCTGGTAATTTAACATAGCTATTGAAAATGGCCATTTATAGTGAGTTTTCCCATTAAAAGATTTCCCATAGTTATGTTAGTTTACCAGAGGGTACCATGTTTTACCACTATATCTGGTTGGTGGTTTCAAATCTTGTTGATTTTCCGTACAGGAATGGGATGATGATCTTCATAGATAAGCCGTTTTTGGGGTGATGAAAGAATTGCACTGATCAGATCCCTTCCAAAACATCACTAGGAAAGCTCCAAGCTATCCTTGTAAAACAGGGCTCCTTGGTTGATGTCGAAGGTAACCATCGGAACCTCGCCGCTTGATAAATGGTCTATCCATGTCTTTCCCGATCAGTTCATTCGTCAAAGCCATGGCCATGGTGGCCATGGTGGCCCAGGTACATGAGTCAAACTTGGGACATCTTCGTGCAGAAGTTGACTGATTTCAGATCCCCCAACTTCACGACCTTCAAGGATCAGGTGGACAAGTCCTGTGGCTACTGAGCAGGAAGCTACTGGGTCGTATGGCCGAAACCGATTGCGTGGATTGCTTGCGGAGAAAAAGCTGCGTAACCTGGAGCGTTTTTTTGTGGAGATGCACGGGGTGGCTGTGAGATGGATGATTTTCCATGCTGGGATGAACAATGTGAACATGGAGCTTGAAGATACTGCTACGAAACGGTGCGAAGCAGGATACTGCTCGGGGTTTGACCCATGCCGAAAAAGATCAGAACTGATCAGATATGGACCATCCAATGTGATTCTTGGAGGTTGTGGCTGGTTTCAAGCACAAAAGAGTCAACATTCACTGAACTACTGTATTTGAAGGGAATATCTACGAAACATTAACTGCAGTAAGTTGTTTAAAGACTCAACAATTTGTGGGGGGTAGTATCAAGTTTCCCTTAAACAAATTTTCGAAGCATGCAGACAGGTTCAATCTTGGCCCAAATCCTTGGCATGTCGATAGTGGAATTTGGCAGTTTACAATCCCACAATATTCATCTTAAATAAGAAGTTGTTGTTGTCAAATTAACGAATTTTTGATGCTTCAGGTACATTCATGGGCTTTCTATAGATATTACTTATTACATTCCATGAATCCCAATTCTCCATCTTTGATGTTAAATTTCCGACATCTGCTGTCCCAAAGCCCTACAATTTGATGGTTAAAATCCTCATGATATTTCAGGATATTTCCATGGATATTCCCACAAGAAATTCAAGAACATCACCACAAAATCAGCATCAAAAAGCATCATTTTCCATAGATCTCATACAATTCCCATCTCTCCACCATTTTCCATGGATTTTCCCATGAAAAGTCCCATAAAATCCATCCTTTTCCCGAGATTTTCCCACAAACAATCACCACTTTCACCATTTTTCCCAGTCGAACCAGCCATGGCCATCCGTCCCAGGCGACGGCCGAGGAGCTCAGCGCAATCAGCGATCCGCGGGAGCGGGCCTTGCGGCGTGTGGCAAAAGCCGTCCGGGGCACCTGGGGGACCCGGGGGACGTGGACTGGGCACGGGGGATGGGAAACTCATGGGAAGATCCCTGGGGAAATCCAGTATGAAATGTATGAATCAAGAAGATATTGGGAATAAGGATGTACAATGGGACAATGATATATTTAGTGGTGATTTTAATGGTGATATCATGGTGATTTTCAACAATCATGGGAAAATCCATTGTAAATGAAGGTTTTAGTGGAGGTAAACCAATATATTGGGGAATATATAATGGGAACATCCATTTTAATGGTGATTTAATGGGATATAGATTGGGGTATGAATGGGGAATCGATTAAGGGAATATTAGGCATACTTTTTGTTTTGTTTGGGTTGTTCCTTAAGCAAATCCAAGTAATCACAATGGATTATGTTTTATGATTCATATGATGTCCACCTTAATTATATAATCATGGGAAAAATATGGGAATATGGGAACATCGTGGAATATCCACTATGAATGGAGGCTTTTCATGCCGAAATATTGACAATCCTGGACGTCTGAAGATGTTTTTTATTTTCCTAATGGGACATTTGCTACTTGGGGAATCTATAGGGAATGGTGTATATTTTTTGGAAGGTTCCTTGAGCACGTCCAAGTAATCACAATGGATAAAGTTATATGATATCTATTCTCTCATGATGCGACATCTGGATAATGTTGTCTGGGATATACGTAATGTTATATGTGGGATAATGTTACGCACAGACCCCCGTGGTTTGCCCGGACTGCAGCATTGAGGATTCCCTGTCGTCGAACATGAGAAGAGAAATTGCAGAAAATACTGCGCATACTCTGCTTTCGGATTCAGAGTCTTCAGGGTTGTAGGGTTTAGGGCTTTAGGGTTTTAGGGTTTAGGCTTCGTCGTCTGGTAAATACCAAAACACTGGCAATGCGCAGGTTTCTGAGCATGTCGAAGGATAATATTTTGAACTCCATTCTAAGCTTGCGGGCAAACCATAGGGCCATAGGGTCTGTACACCCTCCAGGTAGGTCCCCAAAAATGCAGGTGTTATCAAAAATCCATTTGGGGGTTTACTGGGTTTACCCCCTAGTTGTCAAGTTATATCAAGTTATCATCCATTTTTTCATATTTTTTTCTAGGATTTTCCATGTTTTTGGACCCTGATGGCCGGTTGCTTGGGCCGCTTGGGCTTGGCTCGCAGCTTCGCGAGGCCCATCACTTTGCTGCGCTGGGCTTTTCGGCCACCGAAGCAGGGGAGCCCAGATTCATGGGGGGATGCCATGGGATGCCATCTATTTATGGATCTATTACCCTCTGGTTATGTCAAAATAGCTATTGAAACTAGCCATTAATAGTGGATTTTCCCATGAAAAATGGTGATTTTCAATAGCATGGATCTATTTTCATGGAACAATTTTAATCAATTTACCCTCTGGTGAACTAACAGTTTGCTATGGAAAATGGCCATAGAAATTTATAGTGAGTTTTCCCATGAAAAGCATGGTGGTGATTTTCCATTGCTATGTTAAATTACCAGAGGGTAAATTAATGATAAACTAATTTGAATGATTAATGGAACAATATCAATGGAACAAATTTAATGATAAATTGTGATGATCAATTCCATGGGATTTTGGGCAAGAATTTGCCCAGAAGTCCCCGATTTTGCATGTGCGCGTGATCCTTTTCGTACTTGTTTACTTCCGTTTCTCAGTTGGATCTTCCAAAATGGATTGGTTGTACAATCCTTTGGTTTGGGGTTTATTTTGATTTTCCAGTGATCAAATCCTTCTGACAGGGTTGGTAGTGGCGCCAAAGGGTGTGTTTCAAGGCTGTGACCGCCACAGTGGCCACGGTGCAGAAGGCCAGTTGCTGCTGGGAAAGTTGCTGCCATGTTTGGCTACCAGAAGGTATCATTCCATTTTTTGCTGGTAAAAAATCTCCATTTCTCTTTGTCATCTCCCTCCAGGAACATTCTCCAGCAGTGCATGCCCCCTTAGGGCAGCTCGATGTGCAGGCTGTAGAAGACTTTGAGAGAACTGCTGGGGCCGTCAGAGGACGAAACTGAATATTCAGACATCTCCAAAAGGTCCTTCTGATCAAAGTACCCCCCAAAAAGATCGAAAAGTGGGACACTTGGAAATCTGTTTGGCAAATATCATCTATAGATAACACCCAGTATATTTCCACACACTTGTCTATCTTTGTCGGGGTTTCTATACATTTTTCCCAGGGTCTGGTTACAAACATTCAGCCCCTGAGGTTGGTAAGCCTGATGGCACCTCGCTGTACACCACAGCCCTGGGACGCGTGAAGGTGCCACGATGTGCCACGGCACGACGACGCTGTTTCTGCTGTGGGAGATTGATCGGCCTGCTGGAAACTTGAGATGAAACCCGCCAGAAATCACCAGGAAAAATGTCCATGGGAAATGTGGGAACATCAGTTTAAGCTTCCCATTTTCTGGTCGGAACATCATCTTCCAAGTCCGTCATTGGGGCTTCCATCTGAGTTGTTGGAAGGATGGTGCGCTCCATAAAACAATAGTTCCAGTTTAGCAGCCTGTTCAAATAGGTTTCGGGACACCTTCACAAGAGATTTGAAGGACACTCAACTTTTGACCTCCACTGCCAATATGACAAGGATATCCCTGCCAACTTTGCACCAGGGAAGTCACACCATCTTTGACCCCTAAACTGGGAACCTTCCACCCCAACATCTCCTAAAATACGAACCTTAGAAATCCTTAGAATACATCTAGAAATATCTCAGGTATGAAAGATCTAGATATACCATGATATACCATGATATCTAATAGGTATACCTTAGGATATCCAAACATATCTAGACATATCAAAGACAGAATCTCCACCTGGCCATCCCTTGCAGGCCGCTGCGAAGGCAGTCGAGGCGATGATCAGTGCGGGAGCACGGCAGAGGAGTCAAAACTCACCGGCGATGACCTATATGTTAACTATATATAATATATATACATAGAACTATATACATAGAACTATATATACTATATATATATACATAACAATTAACTATATATTGACTTTGGCAAACCATCTCTAAAGCTGAACAGATGCGGAAAATTGCCTCAATTTTCCACAACATCAGGGCATCAAGAAATGCTGAGGAAATGGGATTGAAACCGCTAAACAACATGGAAATCTCGTGGTTGATGGAAGTATGATGGAATAGTATGGTGGGGGTTCTCGAATCGGACCCCAGGGCCAATCATCTAAGTGATTGGCCGTTTCTTATAGATTCCTAGAGGAAAACCCATGGTCTTAGGCTAATCACTATCACGGCAGTTTTCAAATGGCTCATGAAACAGGGATTTGAACCAATAATTATTGGTACCAACTAAAGACATGGGTCCAAAAAGGATTTCTTGCAAGCCCAAGTGAGGATTTGACTTCATCAGCACAAATTTTTGGGACGTCATCCATGGAATCTTTCCAATGGACATGGCTGGACCATAAATGAGGTATACACTCCAAGCCACTCCAATTGATTCCTATTTTGATTAAATCGAAACCATTGAGGCCTGGACTCCTTCGGCACGAACCAACTGGCAGAACTGTGCTATGTTTCTTGGATGCTCAGTTTGGCCCCGGTGTCGTGGTTGATGCAATAGGAAAAAACATCCTTAACTTGGGCCGTGATGTAAAATGAGAATGAATAATCAGAATATAATCACACTAATCCTCCAATGACAGACCTGTGTAGGGTTAGTAATGATCACACTAATCACTCTAATCACATATAATCACACTATTATCACACTAATATGGCCATTAATCATGGAGCCATGGATGTTCTCGTTGCGTCTCGGGCAGTGAAATTTCCCATGGCTCCATGGGCTCCATGGCACAAGCCAAGAAGCAAGCCATCAGACATGGAGCCTTTGACCCGAAGATTGTTGGTTAATCTTGGCTAATACTAATAAATAATGGTGAACATATTGTTGGTTAATTAATATTGTTAATTAATATTGTAAATCACGAAAGCTAGCGTCAGCTAGCTGGAGTCTTCTTGCTTTAGCAAGTATTCCGGGGGCTGCTCAAGGACATCA